TGATGAAATAGTTTATAGTTCAAATAGTTTCTTTCTTAGGGGGTGCCATAGGATTTTCTTCATCAAGTCGTTTCTAGATGGGATAGACAGTTTCATTTATTACTTCTAGTGTAGATTAGGTTTATTTCATTTTTCTTGCCTAACTCCTCTTCCTTATATTCAATGGACATTATATTATATGAGGGAGTGAACACTTTTGTCTTTCTCTCATCTTTGGGGTCACCTCAGTTGTTCACTATTAAATATAAGTCAAATTGTGGGGTTGAGGCATGCCCTTAGGAATTTGGTGTTTTTGTACTTGGTGTGTGTGTGAGTGTGTGTGTGTGTGTGTGTGTGTGTGTGTGTGTGTGTGTGTGAGTGACAAATGGACATTACATTTTTGTTTGGTTTAGTTTACAAATTTTATTGATATGGCATATTACAGTATTTTATAAATGTTAAATCAACTATCCTTTAAATTCCACTTGACTATGATGTACAATCCTTTTTATTGCATTGCTGGATTCATGTTGCTAGTATTTTGTTAAGGATATACATATTCTATGGATGTACATATATATCCTATAAATGTATATGTTCATAAGCATTATTGGTCTACAGTATTTTACCTGATTTGGGTATCAGGCCTAATTGTGGATTCATAGAGAATGAGAAGTGTTACTTTCTATTTAGTTTATCTTTTGTTTGTTTTGAAAAAATTATAAGGAATCAACATTAGTTTTTCTTTAATGGTTTGTGCTAATCCATCATTGAAGTCATCTAGACCTGAGATGATGATTAATTCAATCTGTTATAGGTCTATCCTTGTTTTTTTTTAATTTTTAAATTTTTTCATTTTTGTCGGTCATGGGGCCTGAACTCTGGACCTGGGCACTGACCCTCAGCTCTTCAGTTCAAGGCTAGCACACTACCATTTGAGCCACAGTGCCACTTCCAGCTTTTTCTGCTTATCTGGTACTGAGGACTTGAACCCAGGGCCTCATGCATAGAAGGCAAGCACTCTACCACCTAGCCACCTTCCCAGCTCAAGTCTATCCTTGTTTTTAAAATTTCTTTTTGCATCAATCTGGGTAACTTGTATTTATTCCATCTAAGCTATCTAATGTCATAAGGGGTAAAAGCCCTGTGTAATCCTTTTAACCCTTTTATTCCATAGAGTTAGTCTCCGGTATCCTGTTTTATTTCTGAGTTATTAATTTCAGTCTTCTCCCCTTTTCACTTCATCATCTTAGCTAAAGATTGGCTAATTTTATAGATACTTCAAAAGAATCAACTTTTGGTTCTATTGTTTTTCTCTATGATTTATTCTTCATTTGATTTCCAGTGGAAACCTAAACCTACCTTCTTCTTTGCGTTCCCCTTGGTTAATGGTGCCTGGACTCACTGGTTCCCTCCCACAGAGCAACAGGACTTCGGCTTGCTCCTGTAATTTTAGCTATTTAGTAGGCTGAGAGCCAGAGGATCTCAATTAGAAGCCAGACTAGGCAGACAAATTTGTGAGCCTTTACCTCCAAAATAACCAGCACAAAGCAGGGCTGGAGGCATGGCTCAAGTGGTTTAACACCAGCAGAACAAACAATCCAAATGAAGATGTGAGGTCCTAAATTCAAACTTCTGCAAAAATTCTAAGCTAAAAATTTTAAAAATACATTTATAACATAAATTAATGGGTCTGTTCTGTGAGAATCTCATTTACAGCTTGGGTAAAAACTATGACAGTTGAGGATTGCTATGGAGTTATTTACCCCAATCTAGTTAACCAATTTACCTTGAGCCTTACACAGTCTGTCATCTGCCTGAGTCCTGCTCCTCTTTTATGTCTGAGGTACTTGGTCTTCTCTGGAGGGAAGCTGCTCCTGCAGCCCAGGTTTGATTAGGTTGCTTCAGACATCTCTTTGTCAGCACTTGCTGTGATGTGATTTATTAAATATTTGTGAACTTATCTTTCTGATTTTGGTCTGTTCCACTTGATTTTGAGTTCCATGGGAAAAGAGACCCTGCCCGTGGTCCTCTGCACCACTGTTCTTTGGACTCTTTCCCAGAGCCTGGCCCTTAGCCAAAGCTCAATAGATATTTCTCTGGACAAATGAATAGCAGTAGCTATTTCGTGTTTAATGTTTGCGTTCTGCACTTTGCTTGCTAGCTTAATTATGAAGACAACTTGACCCAACTGACGACGTATTCTGCAAACTCATAAAGAGCATATTCCATGACCCAGAAGCTCTTTTCCTTATATTGGGATTCCAAACTTGTTTGGACTTGTTCTTTAGCCACTGCCTTCTTCCACTTGACTCTAGAGCTAAGTAACCTTAAACTAGGCAAGAAAAACTGAATGAGAAGAATTGCCTTTCAAGCATTGAGGGTGCTTTACTTTGAGAGTGCAGAGAGGAGCTTCCAATCATATTCTTGGTGCTATGGTTGTTTAAAAAAAAATTCTAAATTGTAGGGTAATTTGTCATAATGCTGCACCATTAAGATTGATCTTAATTATCTTATGAGCATTTAGTAGATTTCACCAAACTTCCAAAGAGACAATCTTTTGTTGTTAATAAACTTTGGGTATCTATTTGGGTATCTATTTTCTGGTTTAGCATTGATGTTTCTTCAGTGTTTTGGTAGGCATGGGATCCCATAGTACAATGACTCAGTTTTCCATGGAACTAATTTGTAGATAGGAAAATCGGAAGTTGTCTTCTTGGATTTTTATCTGACGTGCTTTCCTTTGGGAAATACATTCATTATTCAAACCCATTACCCTCCATAATTAATTATGTCTGATACATTTTTACTGTACTGGGGAAATGACTTTGCTCAGCAATGCTTATTAGTGTTTCACAGTTACTCTAAGAACAGAAATGTGAAAAATTAGTGCAATGCTTGACAGCAGAAAAAGATGGATACCATGTTTCCTTTTATTGTATTGCTTACCTACCATAAGGAAAGCGATGGGAATGTTGTTTAATTTGAGTATGTGTCCTTCTTTGCCAAAGAAGTTAGAGGATGATAGATATTTGATAGTTTATAAGTGAAATAAGCACAGCAATAAATCCCTGAGCCTAAGGGTGATATCTGCAATGAACAGAAACTCCATTCTATTCAGTTTTAATGGCTACGGGTAGGTAACTCACACAGCTATGCTGGTAATCTTCAACTGCTTATAATTGCTAAAAAAATAAAGCATATTATAATCATCATAGATTTGATCAGTAAAACAATGAGCCAAGCTTCTTGGTTAACTTTCAACTCTTTTTCATAAATGGTCTCATACCATCTATATGACGGATGATCTGATATCCAGAACCCTGTGACCTGCCCTTTCTACAGGCAACCTATGGCATGGCCATGGTATTCTTCTCACAGGCTTTGTTCTGAACCCATACTTTTAGTGGTTGTGTGACATCAGGGACATAACTTTCCTGTTCTCTTTTTCCCAGTTTTAACATTGAAAGACAGATTTACTGATTTCTATAAGGTGCTAAGGATTTTGTGAGTTAATATAAACAGGAAGTAAATACTGACTTTCCTCTTTCTTTGCTTGCTTCTCATGGTATTTGAAAAGAAAAAAAATTGTTACTATGACCAGTACTTCAGGCAAAATAATACAGATATGCTATGATTTTGTGGGAGGGGGAGGTGTTGAGAGAGGTGAGGTAAATTTCTCATATTGCCTATACTTTCTTTTCATCTCTTTTCATTTCCCTGGGCAGTATGAGCAGTATGCTCAGGGTGAATGTTAAATAAAGAGACATAGAGTTATCTTTAAGTAGATGAAACATGATTGAACAAATTAATTGGATTTCAACCTGTAGAAATTTCTAAATAGCATCTGAATGTTCTTATGCTGGGATAATGAAAACATACTTTATTGCCTTTTTTTCTTTTCTTCTTTCTTTGTGTGTGTGTGTGTGTGTGTGTGTGTGTGTGTGTGTGTGTGTGTTTGCCCGCACCTATAATGGGGCTTGAACTGAGAGCCTCACACTCTCTTGGCTTTTCCCCTCAAGGCTAGCACTCTACCAGTTGAGCTATACCTCCACTTTCTGGCTTGGGGGTAGTTAATTGGAGACAAGAGTCTTAGGGACTTACTTGCCTGGGCTGGCTTTTAAGCACAATCCTCAGATCTTACTCAGTGTCCTAGTAGCTAGGATTAGTAGCTAGCTAGCCACTAGCTATTGCCTCATTTTTAAGCTATAGAGAGTAAAGCCAACCTCTGTAAGTTTTTGTTTTCTTTCTTTCTTTTTGTACCATTAAGTAATTATACAAAGAGGGTTTTCAGTTTCAATTTAGCATGTCAGTTTGTGAGCACAATGCATCTTGATAAATGACATCCCTTTCATCTTCTCCCCATCTCTCCCAACCCTACCCATTCTGTCATATATATACATATATATATATAGGCTATATATATAGACACACAGACTATATATATATATATAGGTTGTATTTGCCCACACTTCCTCTCCTCATTTATCTGTGCTCCTCCCCCAACTTCACTTTCCCCCTCGACACCACAAGTAGCAGCTTCCTAGTGTCCATTTTGTTAAACTATAAGTTATTCAAAGGAGTGACAACATTGCAATTCTGCATATATCATACTTTAGTTAATATGTTTGTGTGTGTGTATGTGTATATCCCTGTATCTGTTGAAGTATCTATTTATAAACTTCATCTAACTTCTCCGTATGAGAGATAACAGGCATCTTTTTGTCTCTCTGGGCCTTATGTACTTCATGTAACATAATTTTCATCCTGATGGATGAGTAAAATTCCATTTATATATATATATATATATATATATATATATAATAAAATTGAGATAGCACATTTTCTTGATACCATATTTTCTTGATCTATTTGTTCATTAAAATATATGGTTTATTCCCAGTCCTGGCACACACACACACACACACACACACACACACACACACACACACACACACACACACAAATTAACTTTTATTTGTATTTGTATTAATTCTGTCAACATTTGTTTCCTTTGCTAGGTGTCTCCTGACTGATAGCTGGAGTCTTCAAAGCAAAATGCCTGAACAGAGCAATGATTACCGGGTGGCCGTGTTTGGGGCAGGAGGTGTGGGCAAGAGCTCCCTGGTCTTGAGGTTTGTCAAAGGCACATTCCGGGAGAGCTACATCCCAACGGTGGAAGACACCTACCGGCAGGTGATCAGTTGTGACAAGAGCATCTGTACACTGCAGATCACTGACACAACTGGGAGCCACCAGTTTCCTGCCATGCAGCGTCTGTCCATCTCCAAGGGGCACGCCTTCATTCTGGTATATTCCATCACCAGCCGGCAGTCCCTGGAAGAGCTGAAACCCATCTATGAGCAGATCTGCGAGATCAAAGGGGACGTGGAGAGCATCCCTATCATGCTGGTGGGGAACAAGTGTGACGAGAGCCCCAGCCGAGAGGTGCAGAGCAGCGAGGCCGAGGCCTTGGCCCGTACGTGGAAGTGTGCCTTCATGGAGACCTCAGCCAAGCTCAACCACAACGTCAAGGAGCTCTTTCAGGAGCTGCTCAACCTGGAGAAGCGCAGGACTGTGAGCCTCCAGATCGACGGCAAAAAGAGCAAGCAGCAGAAAAGGAAAGAGAAGCTCAAGGGCAAGTGTGTGGTCATGTGAGAGCCCTTTGCTGCAGGAAGAGCCACAAGCTATCATCCGGGCCTCACTCCCCTCCCCGCGTGACACCCCTTTGTCAGGGCAGCATGTACGATGCCCTCCTGTTAAACATTGCATTTGGCTGAGACACGCCCTCGTGTCTCTTTCAAGAGGCATTCCACACCACCACCAGTAAGCCACCCTCCTTGGAGTTGCTCACACCTGGCATCCCAGGGAACTGAGAGGTGCAGTCATTTCTGAGCAGGTTTTTGCCATTGGGAAGCTTGGGGGACTCACAGAACAAGCTGAGGGGAACACATGTCACCCACATGTGTGAGAGAGGAAGCTGGTCAGAGCTGATGGTACCATCCCCATACCAGGCCTCGTCTCTGCTCAGTAACATCTTTGGGGGAGGGATGGGTGGAGGCAGAGTGAGAAGACCAATTGGTCCAAACTGGACTACAATGGTCCCCTTAAATACACCGTAAGCCAAATTAAAGATGAAATGCAGCCTCCCCCAAAGGATGTTTACTTCCCATTCATCTTCACCTGAACTTCCCTGAGGAGTGTATTTAATACCTGTAGACCTAGCTAGCAAGTCACCATGATGGGAACCTCTCAGAATGTCGATTTTCTCATACTCACCAGTGGTATATTGCTGTGTCACAAGTTTTTCAGTTTTTCAGTAAAGAGATGGTGACATGATTAAAACATCATCCTTCTATTCCACGGTGTGATGCTTTAAGGATTTTAGAAATGTGAAATTTCTTTGCTTTAGACCTGGGAGGGCTGTAATTTCTTCCAGCCCTCAGATTTTAAATAAAAGCCAATAAAATAGGTATTTTTAGACTTGCTTTCCTCCTCCCTCCAAGATGGTTTTCTTCTCTTCAATAACTTGATGTGTACCCAGCTGGCAAACAGCCAACAAAGGGCCATCCAATGACCAGAAGCACATCCAATTTTCTAAGTGACCCAACACATCTATAAGCCACACTTTACATCTTTATGAAATCCTTTGAAGCAGAAGTTGTTCACTGTGTCTTTGATGATGTATTGCTCTCGGAAGTGAATTCCTGGAAAATGCATCTTAAAGAATAGTAAATTCTCTTGCAGGATCCATTACCTATGTCCTGTAAGAGCAGTTCAAGGCAGTATTTACCCTAGGAACAACGATCTCTTTCTCATGATTGTGTGTGTGTACCCTTAATCCTTCAAACCAAATTACAACCACCACTACTTCCTGCTGGTGTGGGAGGTGATGGAGATTGCAGATAGGCTGGCAGCTCTGTCCTTAGCACCGCCCGCTCAGCTTAACCCATCTGCCATCCAAGATTCTGGCTAGGCTCTGCCTTCTTGAAAATTCCCACTGACAGAACCTGTGAGTTCTATTTCCATTGACAGAACAAACACATGCCATCCCTGACTCCTGGCACATCCTCTTTCCCCCAACAGTCCTTTCCATTGCCTGCTAAGGAAGCAGAGGAAGCTGCAGTACCGCCTCATGGGCCTGTAGGTAGCCAGGGAGGGTTGTGAGTAATGACTTATCTACTTGTTTCTTTGACCTCTCCTCCCATGCAGATAACAGCCATGTGAACACCACAATCTTCCAAAACACAGTTGTTTGAGATCTCAGGATCTCCTGGCTTTCCTTTCTAATTCAATTCCCTTGTATGGTTATGTCCTTTCTTCTTTACCTACAACCCACCCTGGTGATGCCATTAGTGTATAGGAAGTGCCTTTGAGAACCATTTGGCTCCATGGTAATTACCATCTCCTTGGTCTTCTAGAACAAAACATTCCTGTCTTTACCTAGGGAAAGAGTCACATTGAGAAAGGAAGGGCATGGTATGGGAGCCACCAGGGAGTGTAGAGTCTTTGGGGAAATTCCATGACCCCTTTAAGTCCCTCATGCAGGGACTTTTGTTCCAAAAGGCCGTTCTTTCACGCTCAGAGAGAGAGGTGAGTTTTGTCATTTGAGTGTGGGAGAAGTAGAAGAAAGGCCAGAACTTCATGGCCAACTTGGAACATATACTTTGCGATGGGTTCTTGGATAGCAGTGAGGTATGGCCTTTGCCATGTGTTAATAAAGCTTTTATCACAGCACTTTCTGTAAGCCATTCCTACTGATCCTGAGTCAGGATTTCTTTTAGCTTTTTAAAGTCAAACTCCACAGTTTCAAGTGTTGTGGTTAGCATCAGTACGAAAAGCTTGCAGTTATTGACAATCTGAGCTCATTGAAGATACATTGTCTTCCTTTGTATTTTGCCTGTGAGTTTATAGGAGAGAAAGGTAGGCTGGGGAAACCTCCATCCCAGGGCTTCATTCTCAGATCATCATGTAGACTGAGGATGTCAGCCTCATCTTTAGGAGCTCCTTCCTGACTCAGGGTTTGAGGAGTTAGTGCCATTGACGGTTTGTTTCCAGCATTTGTGTGGCCCCCATCTCCAAATAAGGAGTCTTGGTTCTTGAGACCACATCCTACATTGCACAAGGGCACAGAAGCTTTTGACCTAGCCCCAGTATCTTATAAAACTCAAAATACTGCTTTGAAGATGATGGCACTCTGGGATTCAGCACGGGGCTCCATGAGTTCCCTTTCTGTCCCCACTGGTCCCCTCTCCATCTAGTGACAAGCCATGGGCATGCATACAATGCAGCAAGGCCAACACCAGAGCAATATTGAATTGTTCATTATATCTAAAATTATGTATATTATATAACTTACCTTCCTGCATTTTAAAGTAGTAAATTGTACATATCTGTAAGCTAGTATATTTGCTTCACTGTTTGTAATACTTACAAAATGCCCATTCTTTATAGAACTAAAACATATTAAATATTTTAAAAATTGCTCTGTGATACTTCTCCCTTCCCCCTCCCCCAAATTTCTAATGTGTTGCTTCCACGTAATCTCTTTGAAAATACACATGTAAATCCTTGAAGACACGTCCTGGAATTCAGTAGTCCACAAAGATTGTGTGTATACAAAAGTATTTGCAGAGCATGACTTTTGTATGTGTGAAATCTCAATATGTATATTTATATCTAAGGCGTATTTATTGTTATAATGTCATTCTCTATTTTATTTACTCTGCAGTTATAAAAATCACCTTGCCTACAAGTTTGTAGTTGTAGTGATGGTCTGAAAATTCTGGAACATATTACAATAAAGCTTAGTTATGACTGGAAGGTGGTGATATTTCTTATCCATCAAGATGTAGTTGGTCTGTGATCATCATGACCTGATTCTCTACCCTTTGGTGTCCTGTAATCATTTTCCCCACTAAAACTTGATGGGAACGAATCAAATGTTCCAGATAGGAACAGGTGAGAGGGAAGAAGTAGGGGTGGGACATATTTGTCCTAGAATAGGAAGGACAAGAAGATCTTTTCAATTCTACATCCTCCTCCATTCAGGTCACTGAGGTTATTCTAAACAGCCCCGTGCAGCAGTGGCTCCTAGGTAGTTTCTGTTTGGTCCTTATTTCTCATCCTCTACACTTAGCTATGAAATTAAACTTCATTTTTGGTCAAAGGAAAAACAGATCAGAAACCACAAACAAAATCCTCACTCTGCAACTGACCAGTTAAGTAACTGTGGGTAGACTCCTGTGTGTGTGTGTGTGTGTGTGCATGTGTGTGTGTGTGTGTTAATATTGGGCTCGAACTCGGGGTCCTTGTACTGTACCTTAGCTTTTTCACTTAAAGATGATGCTCTGCCACTTGAGCCGTACCTCCACTTACAGCTTTTTACTTGTTGGTGGGAAATAGGAGACTCTCAGACTTTTTTCTCATGGCTGGCTTCAAACCTTGATCCTCAAATATCAGCTTCCTGAGTAGCTAAGATTACCGGTATGGGTCACCACTTCCCAGATGTGGCATTGGTACTTAAAAGGTCATAAGTCGTATGCAATCAAATTTTATTGATTACTGTTCGCCAGGTTTAATTGGTCATGCCTGCTAACCTCCTGAATCTGCTGGGTGGGTATTCACTTGTCAAATCAAGTTTCCCTTCAGTGAATATTTTCCAGTCAGGAAATTGGAGTGGTTGATGTGACAGCATGGACCTCCTCTGCTGTGGTATCAAGATTAGCATTGCCAGGAAATTAGAGTCCAAGCATAGAGCTCACAGCCACCTGCACTCTCTGGGATAATTATATCAGTGCTAGATATGAGGTAACCTCATTGGTCTTGGGTCTTAGTCCCAGAAGCTTTCTGGGAGTGCTAGTCCCTTGCCCTACCCCAGTCCTAGGATGGCACATAGTCCATTCTTGGCAATTCCTCAAGCTCCTTGGATGATTAGAAAAGCTGGTAGTTCTGAGTCAAGCCTGCCTTTAGCTCTGTTGACTCTCTCTTGCCTTGGGTACAATGACAATGTGATTGATGGCCAAAGCCTCTGATCACTCAGCACTCAATGGAAACTGTGTGGCTGGGCTTATGGGATTCCTATGAACCAAGGCCTGTCTCTTCCCAGCCAATGCAACAACCTTGCTCACTTGTCCATACACACTCATACTTTCATATTTGCACCCTTCCAGAATGTTCTCACTCACTTTTCCATATTCATTGACCTTTTCTTACTAAAGGAAGACTTTACTCATCCTGGCTTGATGACCTCAGAGGCAAGCATGTATCTCAAACCTCACTTCCATTGTTATAGTGACCATAGCCACATCAGTATCATTATTATTTTTTCCTTTAGTAATTCATCGAAGTGTCTTTGCATCAAACAACGTGGTAAAGGAGAGCTGGGGGGGGGGTTAGAAAACAGATGACATTCTTAATAAGCTTTGCTTAGGAAAGTTAAGAAGTTTCTTTGTTAAGGACCACAAGGAGATAGAAAGTAGAAGTGAAATGTCTTGCTAAATTCTTTCCAGAAATCCAGACCATACTGTGGGCAGTGTGTTTTTGAACAAATCCATTAGCTTTTTAGAAGTAGGTCTCAGAGTGCTCATGATCGTACATATTCTCCTATGTATGTATGCTAATTCAACAGCAACAAAACAAGCCACAAAGTTGGTATGACACATAGCCCTAATTATTCCCCCTTCAACCTTAGGATACTTATCAGGAACTCAGGCACCTAGGAGCTAGGATTTGTGACTGACATCATTGTTAGCATATAATCAGAACACACAACTATACAGATGTGCCAAAATATTCTGTATTGCCTTTGTTGTTTCCTCTGCTTGGAAGTCCCTTCTTCCTGTCATCCCTGCCCATTAAAATTCCTATACTGAAGTTGTCCTCAAATGACCTCCTCTAAGAAGCTTCCTCCAAGTTACTTATATCAAAAACATTCTTTTTTCCTCTTCAAAATCCTTCTGATTATTGTTTAGCTAACCTTTATGGTTTTAATCACATTTCCTTCTGCAGGAATTATTGATTTTCATACTCTAATACTGATTTTTTTTCATACTATTTATCCTAAGTTCACCATTGATTCTTCTCAACAAGCTGAACCATGTTCTAGGTCTGTTAGAGTTGCATGAACATTTATCTGTTGGGATAGCAGAACCTACCCAACTACTTCTGATGGAAATCTGTACAGTCCTCTTACTATTCTACTTTTCAGCAAGGAATAAGACTAGGTTTCCTGGTACCCTGCTGTCTGCTGAGGTCTTTTTCTGTCCTGGGAGTTTTCTGTCTAAGGAGCCCTGAAATGAGCAATTCTTCAAACAGGGACAGGTATAGTCGAGAGAAGGGTTGTTCTCTTGGCCTGGTTTGCAGAGCAAGGTCCAAGCTGTAGTGAGAGCAGAGCTTCCTGCTGACCTATGGTGGATATGCAACCAGTGGGGGGGGGGGGGGGGGGGGGGAGGGAAGGAGGGATCTTTGCTAGTTTAAACCATTGAGACTATTGGGATTGTTTGTTATTGGAGCAAAACCCAGCTTAACCTGACTAATAAATTAACTCTGGCTTATGTTCTCAAAGATTGGCATTCCTTTTCACCAATCCTGTTTAAAATTCAATAAGTTAATTCTTTTTTAAATGATAGCCTACAGGGTCATGCCTGTTATCCTAGCTACCCTGGAGGCTGAGATCTGATGATTGCAATTTGAAGCCCAGGAAAGAAAGTCTGTGAGACTCTTATCTTCAATTAACCCCTCAAAAACTGGAAGTGGCACCAGTGGCACATGCCTATAATCCCAGCTACTCAGCAGGCTGAGATCTGAGGATTGAGGTTCAAAGCCAGCTCGGGCAGGAAAGTCCATGAGACTCTTAGCTCAAATAAACCACCAGAAAACCAGAAGTGGCACTGTGGCTCAAGTGGTAGAGCCCTAGCCTTGAGCTGAAGAGCTGAGGGACAGCAGCCAGGCCAAGAGTTCAAGCCCCATGACTGACAAAAACAAAAACAAAATTGGCTGTGGAGCTCTGGTTCAAAGCAGTAGAGTGTTAGTCTTGAGAAAAAGAGCTCAAGGATAGCACCTAGGCCCTGAGTTAAAGCCCCATAACTGACAAAAAAATAAAATACAATCTTTCTGTATGTGGAGGCTTTTACCTATAATCCCAGACTGTTAGAAGAGTCAGAGTTCAAGTCCAGCCTGAGGTACTTAGCAAGAATCCAATTTTTAAAAAAACACTCATATGTAATCTTCACTTATGTTTTATTCTTCCAATGCTGGAGATGGAATCCAGAGTCATATCTATGCAAAGCAAGTACACAGTCACTGAACTTCATCTCTAGCTCCCAACTATATTGTTCACCAAAAATGAATTGGACTGCAGAAGTTATGAAGCAAACTTAGTCAACTGGGTGGAAATTATCCCAGAGTCCTGGAGTTGGTTGTCTTTACGCCAACAGCAGTCTGTTTCAAGAGGTTGGCTAATCCATGAAATGTTTCATAAGGGAATGAAACATTTTCTCCATAGATTTTTACAAACAAGAAATATAAACCTAAAGCTGGGCACCAGTAGCTCATGCTTAAATCCTAGTGACTCTGAAGCCTGGAATCTGAGGGTCTCAGTTCCATGCCAGCCAAGGCAGAAGACTTACTGAGATGCTTATCTCCAATTAACTACTGAAGAGCTGGAAGTGGAGCTGTAGTTCAAGCGGTAGAGTGCCAGGCTTGAGCTGAAAAAGCCCACAGAGAGTGTTAGGCCCTGAATTCAAGCCCCAATATCAGCATCAAAAACAAAAAAAAAGAGTTGACTCTCACAGAAGCTCCATGAATTCCTAGTAGTTGAATTCTCAGCAAACATTCCAGAGCTAGTTAGGCTTTTGTGAGTGTGTGCAAGTAGTAGGGCTTAAACTCAGAGCTGAGTGTTATTCCTTAGCATTTTTTGCACAAGGCTGGGACTCTTCCACGTGAGCAACAGCTCTACTTCTGTTTTTTGATGGTTAATTGGAGATAAGAATCTCATGGATTTTTCTGCCAGGACTGGCTTCTTGGTACTGGTGGGACTTTTTTTTTTTTTACTCCATTTAACTGCTCTGTTAACATTGTGCCTTTTGCCGTGGCTGGTATAACTTCATGTGTGCTGTATGTACATTCCTGTATATGTTAGATTGCATTTTTCCTTTATATGCTAACTCAGGATTCAAAGACGCATAAAGGTAGAACAAAAAGCAGCAGTAGAATGCTAAATTTGCAATATTATGCAACATTGACTTTTGCCATGCAGAGTAGTTAACTATGGGCTGTCTGTGCTTGATTTATGGTTCAAAGAAAGAAAGAATTGGTAATATAACCAGACTGTGGCTGTCAGCCTCTTGTCGGTTTGCCAGGACTACACAAAAGGGAAGGGATATTACTTCCTAAGCCTGAAGCATGCAGACTGTAAAGGGTACTTACCAAATTTTTGACATTAAAGATGAGTTGAGCTATTTTCTAACTCATACTGGTCATGT